ATTTCTTAAAATTCTTTCGTTTGACTACGGTATTTTTATATTTCATGTATGAATTTGTTAATTGAGTTAGACCTTTCAAACAGGTGGCAGCGCTATTCAAAAGTATTTTCATTGGTAGCTCTCCTTCGCCGCAAAGTGCGATACATATTTTAATTAACTCATGAAATAAGTGGAATTGTAATTTTCAAACATGTGGCAACCCCGCTAAATATAGTTCAGAAATAAAAAAATTTGCAAACCTCCTTCGATTGATACCTATATTTTAATAGTTCATTTAATTTATAAACTAATTTGAATTTAACTTTCTAAACAGGTGGCAACCCTCTTCCAACACCTCAAAAATATTCTTATCATTCAGATTTAAAGAATCACAATGCAATATTCCATTGACAGAAAACCGAGATTTTTTTTTTTTACTGCTGAAATATTTACTCTCATAGTGAGTATTCAAAATCGTTCGGAACAAATTTAACTTCTTTCGGCCCATACATCCTTGTTAAGTTTGAATGTTTTTATTTTAAAACGTATTTTTTTTTTTTTAACGAAAAAACTTGTTTAACAATTTTTTTCTTAAAGGGCATCAAATACTTTTAATCAAGTACAATATATTAAATATATTAAAAGCTTTTAATGCTAAAATTAAAAGCACTTGCACGCAAAACAAAATCAGTCTACCAAACAGTGTTGCCAAGGAAATCTAGACTAACGTTAAAATTTTGCATATCTTTTATCAGACACACACACACACATACAAATAACACAGCCGGTCAGTGCTGGTAACGAACACTTTAAGCGCCACTTTACTATTGGCACGCGAACTAACAGCATGGGTTTGGCAATAAGCCGCCGCATACAGGGGAGGAAGAGTAAAGGCTCCGTTATGCATACTTGGCATTGCTTGAGCGTTGTCACATAAATAATCTGTTAAATGAGCTTCGCGTGTAAGCGGTTACCCAACGCACAGCATTACATACGTAAAAGTCTGTTGGTTTTTGATTTCTACGTAAAAATGGTATAGCAGTGCATGCAATGCCAAGTATGCATAACAGAGCCTTAATACACTAACAAAGTCACTCCCAAAAAATGTAACAACGCTACTGCTATGCGGCTAAGACGGAAACAACCTTGCACGAAAGCATACGGCGACAGTAAACAAAACGCAATCGACGCGAACTTACGCGATTCTGTGCGAAACCGAAGAAACGGACGGAATGAAAGTGAAAATTAAATGAGAAAAATGTGTGTATGAAATAAGAAATTTTTTGAAGAATTAGTGAAATTAAAAGTTTATTAAATGAAAGATTAAAGTGATTTGTAGAGTGCCGAAAGTCAAAATTTGTTGTTGCAAGTGAATTTAAGTAGCAAATCTTAAGTGAAAGAAGCAGCTTGGGAATGCTTGCCATACGCAAAAAGGTGAGACGCCCAGACAACCATTGAATCGTCTGCTTGAAGCGGCTCCCACATGCATGAAGACCCAAACTATTTGTTTGTTTTTTGTGCTTTTGCAAAGAAAAGTCTGAAGTGTTGTCTACTAACAATCTAAGTAATTGGTACGAGAATACTTTTTGGCCCAACGCCAAGTGTTTTTGTATAAAGAAATCTGTGTGTTAACATCTAATCAGTTGCAGGCGTAACGCTTTCTGCCGGCTCGATATTGATGAATTGTATGTATTTGCTTTGGTATTCATTTACTTTTATTCATATAAAATTCTTTTGTTGCTGTTTTAGACACTCCGCCTTTCGTCGCCAAATAAAACACGTCATCATTTCATATTCACTCACCCTGCCCAACGTAAAACTATCACTGTCTGCCATGCCAAACAAAAGTAATCATTATCTATTATTAAATAATTCAACCGAAAGTGAATTCTACTCTTGACCTATGCCAATCGCTTTTCTAGCTGTACGCCAGCACATTCTGTGCTGATTACATTCACTGATAGTTGCATGGAAATGCTTGCAATTCGAAAAATTCGTAATGAGTTTGCAATATTCAAATATTCTGTACACTGCTTTGGCATGCAATGTAAATTCGGTTGCTACGCTTTTGCAAACATTTTTTTTTTTATTTGTAAAAAACTGAAAGCTTCGTTTTTGCCCCTATTCTGCATTTCTTCCGCTCTCGGCTAGTCGCATGCCAATTTTCTGTCTGTTGTGGCTTAGCACTTTTCCATAGTGTCTGCTGTTCTTTCTTTTTGATGTCCCCGTTTTACCGCACCTTGATTTCTCGATCGATGTTTGTCCTCATTTATTCTACACAAACACACCCATAAGCCACACATTCATAAATAATGAGCACGTATGGGGATGTATGTACACATGTATGTCCATATACATACATACATACATATATAATTGTATTATGCAGAGCTCCCATTTTCATTTGCTTTAGCTTTACATACGTTGATTTATTCAAATATTGATAAGATGTCATGACATTGCTGGCTGGTGAATAGGAAAATGCTATTCAAGTAATTTATTTTTAACACGCCATCATTTGGAAATAATTATATTTCCAGGAATACGAAAAAACTTAAAATGTTAGGTCATGTTGGGGTTTCTTTGCGACGAATAGGACAACAAATATATATACATATACATACTGAAAACTCATATTATTTGTTCATTTGTTTCTTTAAAAAAAATTTATAACAAATGTCATTCAAAAAATGCCAATTTAAACAAGTGTGTGCGGAGGGGGCGTATGAGTAACTTTCGCGGTTAAGAATTTAGCTCTAACTAGTTTGAAGACGAGTAGTGTTAAATGACTCTAAAAGTGATGTTTTATTAATCCTCTCAGCACCAGAAGCCTATAATTAAAAAAGTCTATGCTCTTCAACGAGGACTAAATAAACAATTTCTGATATAAAAAAAGAGTACTGTTTTCTCAGTGCAAGGAATTCACTGATATTTATGATACTATTTGATTGCAAACATCTATAAAGCAAATCGTTTCAAGCCTTACAGGAAAAACCTGCGGTTGGTTGGCTGGGAGTGAATTGGCAAATTCAACGAAAATTGCACGCGGAAATGGTGCAACGGAAATGGTTGAGGCTTCCTGAGTGGATGCACATGGTATTGATTAAAAAAAAAAAACTTACTAATAAAAGGCTAAAGAATAACACTTAGAAAAAGACCAATACAAGAATAAACGTTAAGGTGTACATAGATAAAGAAAAGGATAAAGGCAAAGGTAAAAATAATAACAAAAACAAAGATGCGTAAGGATGAAGAAAAACTGAATATCAAGGTAAATTTAAACACTTTGCTTATATAAGGGCAAAGATGAAGATAGAGGAGGAAAGATTATAATAAAGGTGAATATAGAGAAGGGGATAATAGATAGAGAAAAAGAGACTCAATGTGGGAGCTATTTTCAGATTTTAGAGATTCTAGGGACTTATCGTTATAATAATCGATATTTTTATCGGTTTTGTTATCGATATTTTTAACGATTTTGTTATCGAAATTTTTAACGATTTCGCTATCGATATTTTTTATCGATACTTTTATTGGTCTTGTTATCGATATCTTTAACGAATTCGTTATCGATTTTTTATCGATTTTGTTATCGTTTTTTATCGATTATTTATCGATGTTTTATTAACTTTTTTGTCGATGTTGTATCGAATTTGATATCGATTTTGTTATCGATTTGGATACCGACTACTTATCGATTTTTGGTAAATCTTGTTATCGATTATTATTTCATTATCGATTTTGTCATCGATCATTTATTGATTTTGTTATCGAATATCTATGGATTTTGTCGATTCGATAATCGATTTTGCTACGAATATTATATAGATTTTGCTATCGAAATATTTATCGAATTTGTCATCGATTTGGTTATCAATGTTTTATTGGTTTTATCGATTTTGTTAGCTAATCGTTAAATAATCGATACCAAATCGATGACATAATTGTTAACAAAACCAATAACAAGATTGATAACAAAATCGATAAAAATATCGATTATTATATCGAACATTCCCAAAATATCCATAGCTAAATCGATTAAAATTCCGATAAAAATATCAATAAAAAAGCAAAAAAAATATCGATTAAGTCGCGAGAACCCCAAAGATCTTTAAAAGTCCAAAAAAACTCCTAGGTTGAGTCTCTGTGTCTCTATCTATATCCTTTTCTCTATATTTACCTCTATTTTAATCTTTCTTCCTCTTTCTTCATCTTTACTTTTCGCGGTATCCTCATCTTGATCATTTTTTTATATTTATATTTGCTTTTACTTTTGAGTTTATAATTTTCTTCATCTACATATTCCCCTTCACCTTTGCCCTTATATAAGTAAAGCGTTTAAATTTACCTAGGTCGTTATTTTCGCCTTTATCTTTATGCATCTTTGTTTTTGTTTTTATTTTTACATTTGCCTTTATCCTTTTCTTTATATACATATGTACGTACTCACCTTTACTTTCATTCTTGTATTGGTCTTTTTTAATTGATATTCTTTAACCTTTTATTAGCAAGTTCTTGTTAAATTATTACCATGTGCAAACACTTAAGAAGCCCCAACCATTTCCGTTGTACCATTTCCGTTGCAAAATTTCCGTTGAGTTTGCCAATTTACTCCCAACCACCCGACCGCCGCTAAAGAAGTTTTACTTCAAAAAGGGTAACCATGGCTTACTCATAGATAGACTTCTTTCGCAAATATCGAACTATTTTCCGCAGTCTGTAGATTTAAATCCCTTAACTAAATTTTTTTTGCAGTTATTTTCGCAGTTTTTTTTTCTTCTTAAATCGATGAGTAAAAATTTGTGTTCTACAAACCAGCTGCATTGCGCTCTAAATAAATGTTAACTGCATTTCCAAGCGCACAAGAACGGAAAAGCACAAATGGTTTTGCAAAACAATCGATGTAATTGCCCAAATACACGAACATGCAGATAATTGTATGATTTTAAATGTTCTTTCCGCTTCAAGCAATTATTTTACCAATTTTCCTCACTTTTCCTTTTCTCTCGACTTTGTTGCAGGCCCACACACCACAGCCCAGCCAGAGCAATGCCAAAAACAACAGCAACAATGAAAATAGCTGTGAACGTAGTAATATCAGTGGTAATAGCACAACCAGACCGCCTGAGGGTGAAGAGCATGGAGTTGCAACTGTAACAGCGACAGCGACAGCGACAGCGACAGCGCATTCACCAGATAGTTGCGCTAATAATGGCAAAAACAACAATGAAGGCAACGAAGAACACTTGGCCGAAGTGCTGGTTTTGCCAGTGGATGACACAAAAACTATTGCAACAACAACAACAACAATGATTGAAGCACCAACTGTGGAGGTGGCAGCGAACACAAGCGCGCGTACAGCTGATATTGAAAGAGGCAACGCTTGTGTGGTTGGTGGCAGAAACAGTTGTGGCAAGGCAAGTTTAGCAAATGAGGCCAATACAACGGCGCGCAGAGGCAGCGCAACAGCACCCATCGCGCGTGAAGAAGAAGACGCCGAAGAAGTGTGGACGTCGGAGAGTGAGGATGGTAAGGATGTGGAGTTGGCCGGAAAGCAAGCAGTGGCGCAAAATTGCTGTTTAGTGAATGAGATCGAGAAGGGTGGTGGCCAATTTGATACAAATTCGTACATAAATTCAAATAAAATGCCAGCAGTCAGTGCCACGCTGGCGGTGACTGTCACACTCACATCGACTACGGTGACAGAGGCGGGCACGGCTGAGAAATCGGTGCAACGCAGCAAATCGCGCGTGCGCACTTATTTGAAAAAGTGCAGAGATCGGCTGACGGGTCAGCATCAACACAGCGCGGCCACAGCAGCACACTCGACGATGAGCGAGCCAAATGGCACGCAGGGCATTCAAGCAACAGCAAACTCTGCTATGCATTTGAAAGACGAAAAGTCCAAAGCAACGGCGGTCGCAGAAGTGTTGAAAGCTGCGCCCAAACGAAATTCCAGCCAAAGCCATGTTCTAGAGGAAGATGAAGGGGAGAGGGAGGAGAAGGAGGAAACGCCATGTACTTGTGCATTAATTGCCACAATTGAGTGGCAGGACGATGAGCTAGCGCGCACACTATTACCATTGAGTGAGGAATCAGAAGATGAGCGCACCGCGGCCGAGGAGGCTGAAGCAGAAGAAGAAGCGCACTCCACTAGCGAGCTAACGGAGCTGGTTTACGAGGATATTGACTTTAGCCTGACGTCAGTGTTGATGGACAGCAGCAGTTCGAATGTCAGTGTCGACCAGCACCAATCGACACCATTGACCTCTGTACATAACCGAGACGCCCTAACATTGAGTGCTGCTGCTGCTGCTGCTGACGTTGATGACTCTGACGATTTGGCTGTCGAAGGCGAGACAAGGCGACGGCAAATCATAGAGGAAAAAGAAGAAAAAGAGGAATCTTGCCAGCAACAACCAAGGCAAATGCTCATGCCCAACTACAACAGCTGTCCGCCACTTGTCAAGGAGGCACAATTGGCGCACGCCATACGAATGGTAAGCAATAGCAGGCGAGCAGTTAAACCACCCGCCCATTGCACTTAGACGGCCTTTGTGCCTTACCACATTTTACATACACTATGAACCTTTCACATTTACGTCTGACTCAATTGTTAGCTCATCACAAAAAAAAAACTTCTTTCCTTCGCTATTTCCTAACACTAACTATTAAAGTTTATCTAATTTTTACTTCATTTTATTTTTATTTTATTTTTTACATTGCTTGACTCGCGCAGGACTCTGGCACCGCTGAACTCATAGATAAACACCTCGCCGCTATTTATCCTGTCTATATGGCGTGCACGCGTGCAATTCTAATTCGTCAGGCACGTGATTTGCTCGTGAGTTCCTATTCTGCTTGCCTGCAGTCGTTCGAAATGAAATTCTTATGCAAATTTGCTGAAATTGCTGCAGATTTGAGCCAAAGGCACGCCATCGGTGAGGTAAGTGATGCCGAGATTTCTATTTAAATATGTATATGTATATATTTGTATGAAGCAAAGCTTAGCAGATATGTACCTATGTTGGAGTTCTTAAATTGTTCATTCCTTAAGTTAAATAATTGACATAACAGCTGCTATGATTGGGTAATTTATCTAAATAAGCAATAATAGGAGGTGTAGAATATTCAAAAGTTATTAAATTTTTTAATTATTCAATGAAAATCTTTATACTTGTATACACAGATACATAAATATTAGCGCGCATAACTCGCCGTATAAAAAAAAACTGTCCTTTTTTCCATAGAAATTTTAAAATTTATTATATTTTAAGACTTCCGCCAATATATTTAGCAAAAATATAAAGATTTACGTGAGCTGCACCATTTCCAAAAATCGAGTTTTTATAAATAAAATTTGTTTTTGAAATTATTTCTAAAAAATCACCTCATCATTTCAAAATTTTATCAACCGGTTCAAACTAATGAAGTTTTTAGAGATATTTTAAAATCGTAATCCTTTAAATTTTTATGAAATAATTTGGCGGAGTTCTTAAAATAAAATAAATTTTATAATTCCGATGAAAGAACGGCAACTTTTTTTGGTGATGCACTCTAATAAACATACTTACAGAGAGTCACACCCAAAATTTGGCAGTTATCTTTTTACAGTATTCACAATGTTTTCGTAAAAAAGAATCAATATACATACATAGTTCACAGCCTATTTCCACCAAAAGCTTAACTGCAGTTAAGAGATCAGATAAGTTCCAAGAAATTTAACGCGGGATGATCGGCAAAGGTTTATTTCAAACTATTTGCTTTTTACTTGTAGGTACTTTTCATGAGAAATTACTTCCTTCGATTGGTAATCTCCATTTTCGAATAGGCATTACCTGCAGTTAAAGCTTGGTGGAAATGAACTATAACAAAAACTATTTAAATCATTGATCTATTCAAACCTGCCTGGTTATCTGGTTAAAAATTATTATTCTCTAGTGTGACAGTTTTATGTAGCTAAAAATATCGTTGATTTCTAAAAGTTTGGAATCTTAATTTATTTGGCTTCTCTATTTTTATTTAAAAATTATATGTATGTATATAAATATGTATGCATTATATTATTTACAGCCCTTTTTAATTACACATTTCTAAGTTAATTATCTTAACGGAAATACATGCAAAAATATTGTATTCTTAAATATTCATTTTGTAGAAAAAAATACCCTGCAAACCAAAGTTCCCGAAATCTTAACGACATCTTTAGGAGCATCTTATTTCTGTAACGATTTTTTTAACGAAACTTCAAAGAAAATTCTGAAGTGGTTGACACGAACTCGTAAAGAAATTTTTGCACGAAAAATAGAGAAAATTCTGAAAAATATCTGCAAGAAATTCTTAACATAGCAGCGTTATTTTCATTGCTTTATCGATTTTCTTCCGAAATTGCGTAAAATAATCGAATTGTGCACAGTGTACATTCATTTTGGAAAATTCGGCAAAAAATCGGATGAGATCTTTACGAATTCTTTAAAATGTCTCTACAATTCAGAATACTCTGAAAAGATGATTTGCAGAGTATGTACCTGAATGTGGCAACACAAACATACTACATACATTTATTTGCTGGCCCGCTTTGTTTATTCATTCAGTAATTCTCTCAACCTTCCGCTTGCCAATTTGCACGCTTTAATGTTAAATGATATGATTAACAATCATTAACAAGTAGACAACTACTGCAACTGGAACAACATTCAACTAAAGATTTAGTATTTATGTATCTTGTACGTATTTTCATATACGATTTATTCATCTAAGCGCGCCATGCCCATAATTAAATACTTGGTCGCACCATTCATTATTTCAGTCTGCACTTCACCCCTACATACAGACGGTATATACATGAAAACATATACTTTGTCGATAACTTAACAGCGCCAACTAGCAGCTGCATTGCTGTTAAACGACTAGTCGAAAATGTGACCAGAGCAGCTAATTTGTGATAATGGTGGAGTTCAAATTTTATGGCGTGGCCGTTTAAGAAATTTAGTGCTGGCAGCCACAATTCCGACTAGTGGTGGCTTCTGGCCCAGCGTGGGGTATTCCGTCGACCACTACTTCAAATTTCTGGCGAAAAAAATTCCATACTGGAAGAGTGCCTTCTCATTTATATATGTTCGCTGCTTTTAGTAAGTCGTCGAAAAACTGGTCGAAAAAATGAAAACAAATGTTAAGCCCAACAGCGTACTAACAGCGAGCTAATAGAGTGATAACAGCGAGCCAACAGCGTACTAACAGAGGGATAACAGTGTGCACCAACACACCAGATGTATGCTGGTTTTCTATGCGCGATTGTATGCGCAACATGGGATGTAAATAAACAAAAGTGAAGTAGGGTTGCCGTCGTGTCGTGCAGATAACAAAGTGGTGCCGCTTTTTACTACACTTTTGTGAGCAAATATAAAAAAATCAAAGGCGTTTTTGTAGTTTAATGTCGCAACGACACAAGCTGTAATTTAATTGTTGAAAAAAAAATGAGAAGAAAAATTACATTCGCTCCCAAAGGGGTAATTCCTCGTCATCAACAACACTGTTTCGCTGCTGCCGTTCTGCACATACTAAATATTGTTTGTACATATATCGTCATGTGCGCAAAGTGTAGCCACGTTTGTGGCACGAGATGCCGGCGTTTGCAGCAGCTGCTGCTGTTGCCCGTGACTTCGTCTGTTTGTTTGCTGCCTGGCCGGCCTCAGCTCTGTTGTTTACTTGTTTTTCTCAGCGCCAGCGGTGGCTGCTGTTGCTTTTCAGTTAGTTGGTTACTGCAGTTTGTGTCACTCAATGTTGAGGCAATCGAATGCCAACTAGCGACGGTCGTGGACGCGTTTAACGGACGAAATACAAATTTTCAACGTCTCGTCGAGTAGTGCGAGTGACTTGGAAGTTTTTTTGGTTTTTTTTTTTTGTAAATGCAGCAGCAGTAAAGCAAAGCATACATATATACATAAATACAGTACCTAAGAGATAAATTTGTTTTCGTTTGTGAAACAAAGTGCCTTCATAGTTTGTATTGTATTTAACTGAGTGTTTTATTGGTGCCTTAGTGTAAAAAAAAATAAACACAACTAAATCAGTGATTTTTAAAAACTTTTTATAAACGTGATTTTTGCTCGATTAAACAATTTAAATAAATTCAAAATTTTGTCTGATAAAAATTGTGGAGTGAGAGTAAATATTTATAAAAACATCTAAATACCTATTTTTGTACGATGAATCGCAAAAAAACTGAAATAAAAAAGAATAAACGGTTTCTTTGGCTGACAGTTCATAAAATTTAATAAAATTCTTTTTTTTTTTGCTTAATTAAATTAAAATTTTTCTAAGCACAGAAATTTACAAAAACACAAACATATCTCTGATATGCTGCTATGCATGTACAACTCATAAATGATCCAATCCGATTTTAATGTGACATAACTCGAAAATTAATTAAAATTAGTAAACACAAGTGCCTATCAAAGCGAATTTTTATCGAAATTCGAACACAAAAACAGTGCGTGCGCACACTTCAAAATTATATATGGAGCTTAAAGATTGACACAAAAAAAGGTAAAAATTGTTCTTCAATAAAAAAAAATTTCCAACGCTAGACAATATGCATAAATAGATATGAAAACCTAAGAAAGGGTTATATGTGGTGAAAAAAAAATTACTTTGGAGTTTTTTTACTACAAAAAGACAGTGAATGCAAAAATTATAACTATTGTGTGATCAAGTGTAAAAAAAGTGAAAAAACTGGGATTTTTTCGGAGAGTGGTGGCGGAAAACGACTAAAGCAAAACAAAGATATATCAAAACTTTTTTTAAAGGTAAAATATTTATTTATTCTAAAAAATGTTATAAGTTATTTAAAAAAGTTGTTGTTGTTTTATCAAATGTGATTTGTTGGCTTTCAGCGCTAGAATCAAATAAGGACGTGTATCAAATAACACATATAACAATGCAATAGAACTAAATTTAATTAAAAAATAAATGTATGAACTAAAATAATATAAAAAATTCATAAAATAAAAATAAATTTAAAAAAAATTAAAAACGCATTACATCAAAAAGAATAAAATGAAATAAAATAAAACAAAATAAAATAAAATGGAATATATTTAAATTTAAATAAAAAAATTAATTATATTCAACAATTTTATTGAGCTTGAGGCCGATTTAATGAAAACTATTGCGGGGAAAAATAAATTAGAACAAAATAAAGTAACATAAAATAAAATTAAATTAACGGAAATATATAAAAAAATATAAAACATTAATATAAAATAAAAAAGATAAAAGAAAAATAATAATTTAGAATATAACAAGCTAAAATTAAGAAAAAATAAATAAATTAAATAGTATAAGGTAAAGTAAAGTGATATAAAACAAATTAAAAATATGTAATAAAATAAATGAAACAAAATAAAATTAAAAATATAATAAAATTTAATAAAATAAAACTAAAATTAAGTATGCAAAAAGTAAAATAAATAAAATACAAAAAATTTATGAAATAGAATAAAACGAGATGAAATAAAAGATAATATAAAATGAAATGAAATAAAATAAAATAAAATAAAATAAAATGAAATAAAATAAAATAAAATAAAATGAAATAAAATAAAATAAAATAAAATGAAATAAAATAAAATAAAATAAAATGAAATAAAATAAAATAAAATAAAATGAAATAAAATAAAATAAAATAAAATGAAATAAAATAAAATAAAATAAAATGAAATAAAATAAAATAAAATAAAATGAAATAAAATAAAATAAAATAAAATGAAATAAAATAAAATAAAATAAAATGAAATAAAATAAAATAAAATAAAATGAAATAAAATAAAATAAAATAAAATGAAATAAAATAAAATAAAATAAAATGAAATAAAATAAAATAAAATAAAATGAAATAAAATAAAATAAAATAAAATGAAATAAAATAAAATAAAATAAAATGAA